AAGTATAAGGAAGTTAGTTGTGTGCCCAGAAACTATTTTATTTACCATTTATTGATGTCTGATTTGTATACATTATATGTGTCTACGTTCATGCAGTGATTAATCATTTGAGTACAGTGAATTATTGTTATCGCCCACGAAAGGAAGTACTGAAAACTCCAGTGTTAAATACTTCATAATATATCATTGAATGAAGGGCAGTGAAAACCATTACAGTGAGTCATTGTCGCATTGATTGTAGAAACGACTGTTTGAGCCCGAGTACAGTGTAACTAAGTAATACGTGCTATTGTTGCCAATATCGAGTGTGCGAGTTTCTAGTAACATTGGAGAACTTAAAGAAACAGCGCGTGTGAATCTAGAAAACAAGCAATAAACTTTCGCGCGGAGCCAGGCACTCAGCTGATCTTGACATTGACGAGAGGGGGAGGTGTTGCCACTTAGTGAGTGCATAATATTCGTGGGAACGACCGGGCTACAGCCAGGATCAGCTGATTTATTTATTGATATGACCTTGTGACATCTTTCATGAATTTTAAGTAAAATACAAAATTACTTTTGTGTTTATATCATCCCCTCCATTGATCTTGTGGCTATATTATACTGGAAAGCAAAGAGTGATAAGAGTAAGTACCTGCCGGATTCCTGATCTTTTGAGTGTGACCTTGCCAAGGCTACCTCTAATTCAACCAGTCCACTGAGGTGTTACTGGACACCGAAAACACCAGTTGGGGACCTTGTGGTTAATAGTAAAGCCCTATTGTTGGGGCGGGCCACACAACAGTTAAGTAAACAAGAAATGTGTTCCCACTCCTTCTCAATCAGAAGGCCGGTTGGGATTGACTGGGATACTCTCCTGGCGTGCAGTGGCGCCGAGAGGATTAGAGTGAAGACCCGCAGGGCTACGGTGAGTGACCTTGAGATATTGTTGCTCACCTAGAGTAAAGAGATAAGAACTGTAATACCCCAACACTACTCAAACCTGAATCTAAATCATTTATATATATTATAAACAACAGAGGTCCCAGGACAGCGCCCTGAGGTACCCCACATACAACATTTTCCCACTCTGACTTGACTCCATTTATACTAACTCTCTGTTTCCTTTGGTATAGCCATGCCCTAATCCAGCTTAATCCGGCTATTCAGTTTTGGTCGCTGTACTATAGAATGGATATAAATTCACTTGAACGTGTCCAGCGTAGGATGACTAAGTTAATTCCCCAAATTAGAAATCTTTCATATGAAGAAAGATTAACAAAGCTTAAGTTGCATTCACTGGAAAGGCGAAGGGTTAGGGGTGACATGATAGAGGTTTACAAGTGGATGAATGGACATAAGAAAGGGGATATTATTAGGGTATTAAAAGTATCAACACAAGACAGAACAGGAAACAATGGGTATAAATTGGATAAGTTTAGATTTAGGAAAGACTTGGGTAAATACTGGTTCAGTAACAGGGTTGTTGATTTGTGAAACCAGTTGCTGCGTAACGTGGTGGAGGTGGGGTATCTCGATTGTTTCAAGCATGGGTTGGACATGTATATGAGTGAGATTGGGTGGTTATAAATAGGAGCTGCCTCGTATGGGCCAATAGGCCTTCTGCAGTTACCTTTGTTCTTATGTTCTTAAAAAGATAGCAAATTTGTTAAACATGAACGGCCATTTGTAAAACCATGTTGCGACTCATTTATTAATTTGTGTTTTTCAAGATGAAGACGAATTTTATTTGCAATTATCGATTCAAGTAACTTTCCCACACTAGACGCTAGGCTAATTGGTCGATAGTTAGACGCAAGTGATCTCCTTTCTTAAAAATTGGTATCACATTAGCAACTTTCTATAACTCTATAACTCTGGCACTTTGCCTAACTCTATTGATTTATTAAATATGGTAGACAGTGGCTCGGAAAGCTCCTCTTTGCATTCTTTAAGCACCCTGGCAAACACTTCATCCGGCCCTGGGGATTTGTTTGGTTTGAGTTTAACTATTTCTTTAATTACATCCTCCCTGGCAACTGCTAAACTAGTCAACCTGTCCTCGTCCCCACCCACATAGACTTGTTCGGCTGAAGGCATATTGTTAAGTTCCTCTTTAGTAAATACAGATATAAAATATTTTTTAAAAATACTACTCATCTCTTCATCATTATCTGTTATTTGATCTGTCTCAGTTTTTAATGGACCTATCCTTTCCCTAATCTATGTCTGGTATAACTGGAAATATCCTTTAGGATTTGTCTTTGCTTGCTCTGCTATGCGAACTTCATAGTTTCTTTTTGCTTTCCTTATCTCTTTTTTAGTATTTCTAACCAGTTGTATGAATTCCTGTTCTAAACTGACTTCCCCAATCCTAATCCTTTTGTACCAAGCTATCTTTTTACCTATAAGGTTCTTCAGATCCTTTGTTATCCACTTTGGATCATTAGTATTCGATCTTGTTACGGCCCTATTGGATCGCAACTGGGGTTCTTCTCTGATGTTATTAGAGTTTGGGTATCCGGCCCCAAGTTAGTAGTGGCTTTCAAGGGGTGTGTTCCGTAACGCAAGTGAAATTAAAGGGGAAGGGATACAAATACACTAATTTAAATATATATATTAACCACCACCATAAATATCTCACAGTCACTCGCTGGGGCTGTAACTACACTTATATACAATAACTTGTCTTCCTCCGAAGACACAGGATGCTCTACGGTGCTCAAGATGAGTAGCTCTGGTTCTCTTCTCATGGCCTCATGATGAATCCTTTGATTCTCTAGGATTTATCTACCCTGGCCACAGGCCAGCCCAATCACAGTCCCACTGGGTGCACCGTCGTGGAGGCCTTCAACCACAAATCCAGCCTGTAGCTGGCAGGATCCAATCAGCTCCGCCGCGTAGGCCACTCCACGACCGATACTAGGGTTGCGAGCCCTAGGCAGGAGCCTCGTGTGATTCCGCTGATCACTCTCCTCTCTATAGCACCACAGTGGCTAGTCTCTTCCACCAGTCAACCCCCGGGTACGACGATTCCTCAACTCTGCCACGTCACAGGCAGGCTAACACTCTTTTTGCTCACAGCTTCTGCAGCAAACACGTGGAGAGACTGGCTGCCTTGGGTAGACTGATCCAACGTCCATTACTGCAGTCCCAGGTCGACTCTGTAATCAGACACGTCATTAGTACTGGTGACACTCTAGGGCACCTCACTAACAGGCTTAGACACAAACGCCCACCTATCCACTCCATAGATGGCGTTGCTGTCTAAGCGTCACCTCACCAGAGGTCAGCAGCGGCTGTTACGAGCTGATTAAGACGGGAAACCAGCCCCTGTGGCCGGTATATCCCGCCCTCGCTAGATGGCGTCGTTCATTTGGAGGGGGGTTTCGGGAGCTGACCCACAGATGGCGTTGTCGTCACTGCTCCGTGCTCGGAAGGTGGACTCGGGTCCGTAACAGATCTATTCAATTTATATGGTATACTACGTTCCTGGGCTTTGCTTAGAATATTTTTAAATAGGTTATATTTTGAATCCACATCGAAAAACCCTTTTACGTCACCTATCGCTGGGTTCACGTCTAGCTCCAAGACCGGCCCACACCCCATACCCAAGACTTTCCAATCTATTGCACCCAATAAATTTCTTAGGTTATTGAAATTAGCTTTTCGAAAATCAGGTACTTTAACATAATTTTCTCCTACAGATCTATTCCATTCTATGCTAAATCTGATTTCTTTATGATCACTGTTCCCTAGCTCACTCCCTATTTCGATGTCCTTAATTTGAGTTTCCCTGTTAGTTAACACTAAATCTAAAATATTATTTTCCCGCGTTGGTTACTTTACGTGTTGCGTAAGAAAGCAATCGTCAATTAATTCTAGAAAATCTTCTGCTTTGACTCACATTGTTCAAGTAATATATGACTAATTGAATTTTTATTTTGAGGCAATTCTCTTTCCAGGTTCATTTGCCAATTTGTTTTCCTCATAAACTCATATATTTATTACCTCCTATCTCCATATCAATTCCCTATCACTATCTAGTAACTATTTAAACCTAAACAACCCTATGACAACAGGTTCCAATGAGCTCGCAACAGCAATCCCAGCCCTAGATAGATGCACACATGTCTTTCCTTCCATAGATGTTTCCAGTTATCCATTTGATTTGCAATATTTGTCCAGTCGGCAAGTGCCCTCGACAATCATTCATTTTTAACTCGATCTCTTGGAAGAATGCCACTTATGATAAGGATTCCTTTGCTTCTAACTAATTCTGTTGCTGTCTTAAACCTCTGTATCAACGTCTTACTCCTAACTCGTCAAACATTATTTCCACCGGCACTGATACAGATAATGGGTTTGTTCCCATTTCCAGTCATAATATCATTCATGTTGTTAACATTATCACCAATTCAAGCTCCTGGATAGCAAACACTTAACTTGTTCCTCCTATCTCTGGCACAAAAGTTCTATCCAAATAGTTCACTTGAAGTTTCATATGATCTTATTAGTTTTCTCTTAATTTTGTTACAGTATTTTTTGGCAGTTAATAGGTAAGTCATCATAAAATCCATTTTGAGTGCTTAATTTTGAGGATTAAATTTCCTTAGCAATATTTAACCTAAATTAAGGTTAAATTTAAGGACCTATATTTTAAGTCTTAAATTTAACCTGTTTTCATAGAAACAATATCACCAAGAGTAGGAAGAAAAAGAAGCTTTGATAGTGGGATAAAAATTTTATTACTTACACCAATAAAATACATATTATGTTCTAGTAATTATAAACATATTGTGCAATAAAATGAAATCTATTTCACTCGAAATTATGAGAAATCTTATCATAAACTGACCAAACTTGTTTGCATAATCCTGTGTGTTTTCATAGCTCCAAGTTGAATGAATCTTTTTCTCAGTCTTGAAATTTTTCTCTAATATGCACTCTTTGGTGGCTCTTCAAATGATCATTTCGAAAGAATTTTTTACAACACTCTAGACACTCGTAAGGTTTCTCACCAGAATGCTCCATCATGTGCCTAACTATATGGCTACGATACCTGAAACTTTTTCCACACTCATCACACTCGAAAGGTTTTTTTCCAGTATGCATTAACATGTGATCATTTAGACTGCTACGACTACTCAAATTTTTCCCACACACATCACACCTATGAGGCTTTTCACCCGTATGCACAATTCTGTGTTTCTTCAAAAAGTCATATCGAGAGAATCTTTTCCCACACTCTGGACACTCGTGGGATTTCTCACCAGAGTGTACTAACAAGTGCCTAATTATATTTCGACGGGTACTGAAATTCTTTCCACAAACATCACAGCTGAAGGGCTTTTCACCTGTGTGCATCATTTTGTGTTTCTTTAAATTTTTTATTCGGCTGAACGTTTCTCCGCACTCAAAACACTCATATGATTTACTACCCAAATTTGCCATCTTGAGTTTTTTCAGAGTTCCAGTTTGGCAGAAACTTTCACCATATTCGAGACAAGTGCGAGGTTTAAGATCAGTATGCACCATTTTGTGGTTCTTCATATTTCCAAGACGACTAAATGTTTTCCCACACGCTTGACACTCGTAGAGTTTATCACTCATATTAAGAAGATAATGAGGTATTGATTGATTCTGCTTGGGTCGAAACCCTTCCAGAGGTAAAGGTTTAGAGAAGAGATGATAAATATTATCTTATTGCTTGTTTAAAGCCGATTGAGGGGTGATAATGTTGTTCACGTATTTATGTGGAGTCGCCAGATAGTAGGTGACATGTTAGCTGACTGTTGTTGTTGTTGTTGTTAAAGATTTAGCTACTCAGGACGGAGTGTCCATGTAGCACGGGCTATGGTGAGCCTGTAATTGAGTTTGGTTATACATGATAACCTTTTTCCTGTGATATTTAGGTCTAAGTTTAAAATGGAGGAGAGGACTTCTCCTTTTTCCCTGCTTATTTGTCGCTTCTGTTTTAGTGCACTGGTTTTAATCTTGTTTTATTAACATTATCTTGGTGGCGGATGTAGATGCAGAATGCTCACTAATGAGTCCCATTCCTCAACAGCTTTTCTAATCATTGTAGTCGCGGTGGAATGTACATCTAATGCAGCTGCTGTCGTTGGATTAATGTTGAGTTTGATGCGCTGGGGTTCAGTAGCTTCACATTCCAGTAAGTAGTGCAATAGCGGCGCCTCTGCCTCAGTTTCACAGATGTGACACTCTTTAACTATTGGGTTCATTACCTCCCAGCAGTACTTGTACCCAAGTCTGAGTCTGTGTATGGCTACTGCAATGTCTCTAGATATCTTTTTGCCAGGCTTGAAAGAGGAGTAACCAGTGGCTTGTTCATACCATATCGCAGTGGATCTTCCTTTCGCTACTTTGTCTCTGTGGCGACTTTTGATAGTTGAGAATATTTTCTTCTTGATTTGCTCCTTTATCTGTGAGAAACTTGGAGGTATTTGAACCTGTACAACAGGTAGAGCAGTGGCAGTTTTTGCTAGTGAGTCTGCCTGTTCATTACCCTCTATGCCAATGTGACTTGGAATCCAATTTAGGGTGATAGACAGCCCTCGATTATGGGCATCTTTTCCTATATGTTGAATTTCTGTGAGTTGTAGATTATCTCTGTGCTGACTGGATAACAATGCCTGGAGCGAAGATTTAGAGTCTGTATGAATGATGACATCATGTAAATTATTCTCAATTGTATAGTTTATTGCCTCCTTCAGGGCATACAACTCTGTTTGCAATGTTGAGCACCCACTATTCATGCTCCAGTAAGCTTCATGGTTGGTAGTGTAAACTGCTGCCCCAGCAGAACCTTTTTCTTGATCAACTGATCCGTCTGTGAAGATGTGAGTCGTTGTGGGTCTAGAGATAGTTTCCATTTGTTGCTCTATTACTTCCTTGAGCCATTTGCGGGTCACATGCTGATTTTTTAACTGGTAATAAGAACATAAGAACAAAGGTAACTGCAGAAGGCCTATTGGCCCATACATAAGAACATAAGAACAAAGGTAACTGCAGAAGGCCTATTGACCCATACGAGGCAGCTCCTATTCTATAACCACCCAATCCCACTCATATACTTGTCCAACCCGTGCTTGAAACAATCGAGGGACCCCACCTCCACAATGTTACGCGGCAATTGGTTCCACAAATCAACAACCCTGTTACTGAACCAGTATTTACCCAAGTCTTTCCTAAATCTAAACTTATCCAATTTATATCCATTGTTTCGTGTTCTGTCCTGTGTTGATACTTTTAATACCCTATTAATATCCCCCCGGTTATGTCCATTCATCCACTTGTAAACCTCTATCATGTCACCCCTAACTCTTCGCCTTTCCAGTGAATGCAACTTGAGCTTTGTTAATCTTTCTTCATATGAAAGATTTCTAATTTGGGGAATTAACTTAGTCATCCTACGCTGGACACGTTCAAGTGAATTTATATCCATTCTATAATATGGCGACCAAAACTGAACTGCATAATCTAAATGGGGCCTAACTAGAGCAAGATATAGCTTGAGAACCACACCAGGTGTCTTGTTACTAACGCTGCGATTAATAAATCCAAGTGTCCGATTTGCCTTATTACGAACATTTATGCATTGATCCTTTTGTTTTAAATTCTTACTAATCATAACTCCCAGATCCCTTTCGCAATCCGACTTCGCAATCACAACACCATCTAGCTCGTATCTTGTAACTCTATCATCATTACCTAACCTCAGAACTTTACATTTATCAGCATTAAACTGCATCTGCCAATCCTTTGACCATTTCAAAACCCTATCTAGATCAACTTGAAGTGATAGTGAGTCCTCCTCCGAATTAATTTCCCTACCGATTTTCGTATCATCGGCAAATTTGCAAATGTTGCTACTCAAACCTGAATCTAAATCATTTATATATATTATAAACAACAGAGGTCCCAGGACAGAGCCTTGAGGCACTCCACTTACAACATTTTCCCACTCTGACTTGATTCCATTTATACTAACTCTCTGTTTCCTTTGGTATAGCCATGCCCTAATCCAGCTTAATATAGCACCCCCAATACCATGAGACTCTATTTTTTTAATCAGTCTTTCATGTGGCACTGTATCAAAAGCTTTGCTAAAGTCAAGGTATACAACATCGCAATCCTTACCACTATCAACTGCCTCAACAATGCTAGAATAAAAAGATAACAAATTTGTTAAACATGAACGGCCATTTATAAAACCATGTTGCGACTCAATTATTAATTTATGTTTTTCAAGATGAAGACGAATTTTATTTGCTATTATAGATTCGAGTAACTTTCCCACAATAGACGTTAGGCTAATTGGTCGATAGTTAGACGCAAGTGATCTATCTCCTTTCTTAAAAACTGGTATCACATTAGCAACTTTCCAAAACTCTGGCACTCTGCCTGACTCTATTGATTTATTAAATATGGTTGACAGTGGGTCACAAAGCTCCTCTTTGCATTCTTTAAGCACCCTAGCAAACACTTCATCCGGCCCTGGGGATTTGTTTGGTTTGAGTTTTACTATTTGTTTAAGAACATCCTCCCTGGTAACTGCTAAACTCGTCAACCTGTCCTCGTCCCCACCCACATAGACTTGTTCGGCTGAAGGCATATTGTTAAGTTCCTCTTTAGTAAATACAGATACAAAATATTTATTAAAAATACTACTCATCTCTTCATCACTATCTGTTATTTGACCTGTCTCAGTTTTTAATGGACCTATCCTTTCCCTAGTCTTAGTACGATATAACTGAAAAAACCCTTTAGGATTTGTCTTTGCTTGCCCTGCTATGCGAACTTCATAGTTTCTTTTTGCTTTCCTTATCTCTTTTTTAACATTTCTAACCAGTTGTACGAATTCCTGTTCTAAAGTGACCTCCCCATTTTTAATCCTTTTGTACCAAGCTCTCTTTTTACCTATAAGGTTCTTCAAATTCTTTGTTATCCACTTTGGGTCATTAGTATACGATCTATTCAATCAGAGGAATACGAGGCAGCTCGTATTCTATAACCACCCAATCCCACTCATATACTTGTCCAACCTGCGCTTGAAACAATCGAGGAACACCACCTCCACCACGTTACGCGGCAATTGGTTCCACAAATCAACAACCCTGTTACTGAACCAGTATTTACCCAAGTCTTTCCTAAATCTAAACTTATCCAATTTATACCCATTGTTTCGTGTTCTGTCTTGTGTTGATATTTTTAATACCCTATTAATATCCCCCCTGTTATGTCCATTCATCCACTTGAAAACCTAGAACATAAGAACAAAGGTAACTGCAGAAGGCCTATTGGCCTATACGAGGCAGCTCCTATTCTATAACCATCCAATCTCACTCATATACTTGTCCAACCTGCACTTGAAACAATCGAGGGACACCACCTCCACCACGTTACGTGGCAATTGGTTCCACAAATCAACAACCCTGTTACTGAACCAGTATTTACCCAAGTCTTTCCTAAATCTAAACTTATCCAATTTATACCCATTGTTTCGTGTTCTGTCTTGTATTGATATTTTTAATACCCTATTAATATCCCCCCTGTTATGTCCATTCATCCACTTGTAAACCTCTATCATGTCACCCCTAACTCTTCGCCTTTCCAGTGAATGCAACTTAAGCTTTGTTAATCTTTCTTCATATGAAAGATTTCTAATTTGGGGAATTAACTTAGTCATCCTACGTTGGACACGTTCAAGTGAATTTATATCCATTCTATAATACGGCGACCAAAACTGAACTGCATAATCTAAATGGGGCCTAACCAGAGCAAGATATAGCTTAAGAACCACACCAGGTGTCTTGTTACTAACGCTTCGATTAATAAATCCCAGTGTCCTATTCGCCTTCTTACGAACATTCATGCATTGATCCTTTTGTTTTAAATTCTTACTAATCATAACTCCCAGATCCCTTTCGCAATCCGACTTCGCAATCTCAACACCATCTAGCTCGTATCTTGTAACTCTATCATCATTACCTAGCCTCAGAACTTTACATTTATCAGCATTAAATTGCATTTGCCAAACATTTGACTATTTCAATACCCTATCTAGATCAACTTAAAGTGATAGTGAGTCCTCCTCCGAATTAATTTCCCTACCGATTTTCGTATCATCGGCAAATTTGCAAATGTTGCTACGCAAACCTGAATCTAAATCATTTATATATATTATAAACAACAAAGGTCCCAGGACAGAGCCCTGAGGTACTCCACTAACAACATTATCCCACTCTGACTTAACCCCATTTATACTAACTCTCTGTTTCCTTTGGAATAGCCATGCCCTAATCCAAGTTAATATAGCACCCCCAATACCATGAGCTTCTATTTTTTTAATTAGTCTTTCATGTGGCACTGTATCAAAGCTTTGCTAAAGTCAAGGTACACAACATCACAATCTTTACCACTATCAACTGCCTCAACTATGCTGGAATAAAAAGTTAGCAAATTTGTTAAACATGAACGGCCATTTGTAAAACCATGTTGCGACTCATTTATTAATTTATGTTTTTCAAGATGGAGACGAATTGTATTTGCAATTATTGATTCAAGTAACTTTCCCACAATAGATGTTAGGCTAATTGGCCGATAGTTTGACGCAAGTGATCAATCTCCTTTCTTA